TAAATTTCATTCCATATTCCTAATGGCATGGCTATATTTTTTATTTTTCTTTCGTGTTGGTTACGAGGGTGTAATGAATCATGTGATAACCCATCCGCCATATCAACCACTACCAACGACAATTGATGAATTTATTGAGCAGAATTTTACCCTCTTGGCAGATGATTCAACAGATCGTATTTTGCATTTTCTGCCACATCTAAAAGCAATTGCCTACATTATCCACTGTAATCCAGTGGAATTGCTGGAACAGCTGGATCGCTTGCCACCGAAATTTGGTATAATGTCAACGACTGCCTATATTGGCCATTACATGGGGATGCACATGAAGAATCGTAGCCATTATTCGATTTTAGAACAGATATTGTTGACTGGTGTAAATTGTATTTATTATCCGCGCGGATCATTTCTGTTGCCAGCAGTTAATGTCATATTGGATCGTCTTAGTGATTCGGGAATACGCGATAAATTTGTTCGAGAAATTGGTATTGAAAATGTTCCACATAGCACTGCTATACTGAGGCAGTTTGTTTATGGCGGTCCACATTTTAAGTTGAATTTTCAGTTTTTACAAGTTGTTTTTAAAACGCTGCTTTATTTGCATTCTATGGCAATTGGCGTATTCGTGGGAGAAATATTAGTATATAAGTATTTGGGAAATTTTAAGATATTTAAAATAATTAAACGCAAATTACAAAAAATAAATTGAAATAAAATAATAAATAAATTCGCCTTAAAAAAATATTTTTAAAACATCTAGGGTCGATGAAAAAATATTCTTCAAAAAATCCACGCTTTTTGGATGGTCCATGAAAAAATATTCTATAAAAAATCCATGAAAAAATATTCTTTAAAAAAACCACACCTTATGAGGATCCATTAATTTTTTTTTTTAATATCCACGCCTATTAAGGGTCAATGAAAAATATTCTTTAAAAAGTTTACGCCTTGTAAGGGTCCGTGAAAAAAAGTTTCTTTAATAAACTCACGCTTTGTTCTAGATATTAAAAAATTCACGCCTTGGTCTAGTCCTTATATTTATACCCTTCACCACACTGTGGTGCAGGGTATTATGTCTTTGTGTATATGTTTGTAACAGGCAAAAGGAAAAGACACAAGGTTCCTTTTGAGAATAAACATAGAATCACTCTCTGAGTCGATTTAAGCATGTCCGTCCGTAAGCCTGTAGATGTTAAATTGTAAACAAAGCACAGGTCGCATTTATGATCCGAATTGGATGGAATTTGGCACAGCTCACTTATTTGGCCCAAGGACGAACGCTATTGAAATTGAAGAAAATCGGATCAGATTGTGATATTGCTCCCATATATATTTTCGTCCGATTTAAGGTAAATAGTGCACCAAAGTCCCTATATATCCTTGAATTTGCACGAAATTTGGCATAGGGTACTGAATTGGGTTCAGAATGAAGTGCGCTACGTTTCGTGAAAATCGGTCCAGATTTAGATATAGCCCCCATATATAGTTTCGTCCGATTTAAGGTAAATGGTGCACCAAAGTCCCTATATATCTTTGAATTTGCACGAAATTTGGCATAGGGTACTGAATTGGGTTCAGAATGAAGTGTGCTACGTTTCGTGAAAATCGGTCCAGATTTAGATATATGTCAAGATATATACAAAGTCCTTATATGTCTTTCGATTTGCACGAAATTTGGCATAAAGAACTGAATTAGGTCAATAATGAAGTGTTACAAACTTCGAGAAAATCGGTTCACATTTAGATATCGCTCCTATATATAGTTTCGTCCGATTAAAGTAAACGGGGCGTCAAAGTCCCTATATATCCTTCGATATGCACGAAATTTGGCTAGTGTACTGAATTGAGTCTAGAATGACGTGTGCTAAGTTTCGAGGAAATCGGACCAGATTTCCATATAGCTCCTATATATATTTTCGTCCGATTTAAGGTAAACAGGACGTCAAAGTCCCTATATATCCTTCGATTTGCACCAAATTTGGCATATGGTACTGAATTAGGTCCAGAATGATGTGTGCTCAGTTTCGAAAAAATCGGTTCAGATATAGATATAGCTCCCATATATATTTTCGTCCGATTTAAGGTAAATAGTGCACTAAAGTCCCTATATATCCTTTGATTGCACGAAATTTGGCACTGCGTACTAAATTAAGTCTAGAGTGGTGTGTATTAAATTTCGTGAAAATCGGATCAGATTTAGATATAGCTCCCATATATATTTTCGTCCGATTTTATGTAAATAGCGCACCAACGTCCCTATATATCCTTCGATTTGCACGAAATTTGGCATAGTGTACTGAATTGAGTCTAGAATGACGTGTGCTAAGTTTCGAGAAAATCGGACCAGATTTAGATATAGCTCCTATAAATATTTTCGTCCGATTTAAGGTAAACAGGGCGTCAAAGTTCCTATATATCCTTCGATTTGCACGAAATTTGGCATATGGTACTGAATAAGGTCCAGAATTATGTGTGCTCAGTTTTGAAAATCGGTCCACATATAGATATAGCTCTCATATATATTTTCGTCCGATTTTATGTAAATGGTGCAAAAAAGTCCCAATATATTTTTCGATTTGCACGAAATTTGGCATAGCGTACTAAATTAAGTCTAGAGTGGTGTGTGTTAAGTTTCGTGAAAATCGGATCAGATTTAAATATAGCTCCCATATATATTCGTCCTATTTAAGGTAAATGGGGCACTAATCTCCCTATATATTTTTGTCGGATTTAAGGTAAACGGGACACCAATGTCTTTATATATCTTTCGATTTGCACGAGATTTGGCATAGGGTACTGAATTAGGTCCACAATGATGTGTGCTAAGTTCCGTGAAAATCGGTAAAATTTTAGATATAGCTCCCATATATAGTTTTGTCCGATTTAATGTAAATGGGACACCAATCTCCCTATAAATCTTTCGATGTGCACGAAATTTAGCATAGGATACTGAATTGAGTCTAGAATTACGTGTGCCAAGTGCCGAGAAAATCGGGTCAGATTTATATATAGTTTCGTCCGATTCAAGGTAAATGGAGCTCAATAGTCCCTATATATCTTTCGTGAAAATCGGTGCAAATATAGATATAGCTCCCATATATAGTTTTATCCGATTGGTGCCCCAATCTCCCTATAAATCTTTCGATTTTCACAAAATTTGGCATAGGATACTGAATTGAGTCTAAAATTACGTTTGCCAAGTGTCGAGAAAATCGGGTCAGATTTATATATAGTTTCGTCCGATTCAAGGTAAATGGACCTAAATAGTTCCTATATATCTTTCTATTTGCAGGAAATTTAGCATAGGGCACTGAATTAGGTCTAAAATTATGTGTGCTAAGTTTATTGGTCTATCTAATCCTCGAATAAATACTTTTTAAAAATAAAATGAATATTTTCGAAATATTATACTATTTATTATAAATTTATAAAATTAACTACCGCACGTAACCACTTCACCCTGGCGCTACATAATTCCATGAGAAAAACAAAAACACAAAATATCAAGAGGACAGCATAGACCACGAATATACCCAGGAGAAGGTGGAATGACAATCTGGTCGGTTCACCTTGACTGCGCTGTTGTTTCCAGGCAACATATAAATAAATCGATTCGAATCTTTTCATTATCCCTGCCTGCAACATCTGCATAATCAGTTCGCCTGTCTGTGCCCTTATATACGAATGATGGGGCATATAGAAAACAATGGGTGAGGTTACAACAGATTCTGGTAAAATTTCCACACGTCTTGTGGGATTTTGTTGATTATACGACCTTATCGAATATTCCAGCAGGCAAAGAGCAATTTTCTCCTTTGTATTAGGATCGGAGATTTTTTCAAAAAGTACCGGAACACTATTAACAGCATCTACGGTGCCTGTATTCGGTTTGGGATTTACAAATTGTAAAACCGCCTCCACAGCTGGAAATGCATAAATGGTGTAGTTCCTTTCCACCACTTCTTGAAGAGTTTTGAAATTATTCCGAGCCTTGCCATCCTGCAGGATATTGAAGAGCTCACCCGAATAGGCGGTTCTCAAAACCAGTGTATATAAAATCCAAACTGTTAACAAAAATCGGGCAAAATTCCTATAGGGCAGATTACTGTAGACGGCACCTCCCAACAATGTTGACAGTAGATTAGTGAAAGGTATGCGATTACCCTGACCATATATGAAATTCATTAGCTTTGTCTTGCCCAAGAAGCGGATATAATAGATACATAAAATGGCGAACAAAAAACTGGAAGTAAAACAGGACCATATGATGTAACGAAATGGCTTGATGAGACGTTGGAATGCGGTCAAAGGTCTGCCCTGGGGTATAGCCAGGAGATAGGGTAGGTTCAAATAACTGGCACTGGCTGACATTACATCGGCCCGTCCTTTATTGTACATATAGGATACAATTGTAATATTGGCTTTCTTTTCAAGGATCTGCAAATGAAACCAAAAGAAAAAAATAAATAAAAACTAAGCTCATTTTCTGGTAAAAAAAATGTACACTTACCATTTTAGCCGCCCCCGTTGCCGTACCATTCGGATAAATATCACCTCTATCATTCGTATTAGGCTGCTTAATTTCTATGGTAAAATTCATACGTTCTGCCAGCAGTGATATTACCGAACCCTCAATACCATGTAGAGATATCAATTCGCCCGTCTCTTCATTCCGCTCCACCACAATATATGGCAAGTACGTCCAGGTAATTACCGATAAACTGCAACCATGCATATTTTCCACCTTAGTGGGAAACAGATTTTTACCCAAGGTAAAATTTGGATTCTTTTCAACGCCTTGAAATGAGGCAAAATAGCTCGGGCTCGACGAATGACATTTATTGGGTGCAAATGGGAAATAAGTGTACAGATAAGGGTATTTGCCCATCATCAGCATGACATTAACATTTGTCACATACAAACTAAAAAGGCGTTTAAACATCTCCTTGATATTACCCAGACGATCGGCTTCCTTCCCCGTATACACCAAAATAAAATAACCACTGCGATGGTGATGTTGCTTCGTATCCAATAAATCCCTTTCGAATTTACTACAAATAGAGATAAAATGTTTCAATGAAAATTAGTAAAATTGAAAAAAATATATACTATCGACTTATCGAGTCTATGTCCTTCAGGAGCAAATATATACGACATAAAATACAAATTTTGTAAAGTCAGGGTCCAATATTGACCGATCTGTATCAAAACAGCCGTTCTTATTCTTTGGCCCTATCCCCTTCACTTAATTTTTGGGTCATAATTGTGGCCTCTAAAGCGACCAGAAAATCGGCAAAAAAGAAAAACCCACGCCTCTGGGTAGCCCTAAGCTACATCTAAATCTGGACGGATTCCAATAAAACTTGACACACGTTTGGCTAAACTATCTTAAGGGGACCCCCCCATTCTCGGTGTCAAAAAATTTTTTGATTTAATTCGTATCTACTCTAATTCTAGAATGTTCCTACAAAATTTCAAGTGAAAATCTCAAGAACTCTAGAAGATATTGCCGATTTATTGTGTCAGCATCAAGTGACGGCTAAAGGGCTTTTCAAACTTTAAAGGCGTTTTTCTCACAACGAATGGCGGGCACGATAATTCAAAAACTAATAATCCAATCGGTTTCAAATTTTGGCACGTTTCTCTGGGAGTGTGTAGCTCTCGTATGAACTAGGATAAAGCCAATCGGTGAAGATCTTCCTTATTTTTTAACTTAGTTTGTAGTAAAAAATAGGCGATTTTCCAAAAAAAAATTTTCAAAGTTCCGCCATTTTGTTAATTATTGTGCGAAGTCAATAATCCTAGTTCATACGAGAGCCAGACATGTCCTCTTTCTAACACAGTTGGAATTTTCGGATTCCGATGTTCCAGTGAGGAGTTATCATGCCCGCCATCGAAAATATGGACTTTTCTTTGAACCCAAAAAACAACAACAAAACAACAACAACAAATTTTGGTAAATTATTTTTCTTCCTTTTTAAATCTTCAAATATATATGTGCCAAGTTACAAACCTTTACAAGCATTGGTATTCATTTACCAGGCCATTTAAAATCTTAAAAATAAAAAATCGAGAATGGGGGGGGGGTTCCCTTAAGTACGTTGTGCAAATCTGAACCGATTTTCACGGAACTTAACACACATCGTTCTAGGGTTTATTTAGTATGTTATGCCAAATTTCGTGCAAATCGATGGATATATAGGGACTTTGGTACACACTTACATTAAATCGGTCGAACATATTAATGGGACCTATATCTAAATCTGAACCGATTTTCATGAAACTTGGCAGACATCATTCTAGGCTCAATTCAGTACGTTATGCCAAATTTCGTGCAAATCGAAAGATATATAGGGACTTTGGGGCACCATTTACATGAAATCGGACGAAACTATATATGGAAGATATATATAAATCTGGACCGATTTTCTCGAAACTTGGCAGACATCACTCTAGGCTTAATTCAGTACGATATGCCAAATTTCGTTCAAATCGAAAGATATATAAGGACTTTGGGGCACCATTTCCATGAAATCGGACGAAACAATATATAGGAGGTATATCTACATCTGAACCGATTTTCTCAAAACTTGGCAGACATCACTCTAGGCTTAATTCAGTACGATATGCCAAATTTCGTTCAAATCGAAAGATATATAAGGACTTTGGGGGCACCATTTACATGAAATCGGACGAAACTATATATTTGAGGTATATCTAAATCTGAACCGATTTTCACGAAACTTTGCACACATCATTTTATACTTAATTTAGAACGATATGACAAATTTCGTTCAAATCGAAAGATATTTAGGGACTTTGGTGCACCATTTACATTAAATCGGACGAAGATATATATGGGAGCTATATCTAACTCGGGACCGATTTTCACGAAACTTAGCACACATCGTTCTAGGCCTAATTTAGTACGTTGTGCCAAATTTCGTGCAAATCGAAAGATATTACATCATTCTACACATTATTCATTACGCTGTGCCAAATTTCGTGCATATCGTACGATATATAGGGTCTTTGGTACACCATTTACCTTAAATCGGACGAAAATATATATGGGAGCTATATATAAACCTGATCCGATTTTTCCCAAATTCAATAGGGTTTGTCCGTGGGCCGTTATAAATGCGACTTGTACTTTGTTTACAATTTAACATCAACAGACGGACGGACGGACGGACATGCATACATCGATTCAGAAAGCGATTCTATGCATATTCTCAAAAGAAACAATGTGTCTATCTCGTTTCCTTTTGCCTGTTACAAACATATGCACAAAGACATAATACCCTGTACCACAGTGTGGTGAAGGGTATAAAAATCTCGAATATTTACTTGTACGCTTCCAGGCTATCCAAAAACCATATAGACTTCTCACGATTAGCATAACTCTTATAGAATCTCTCCAACAGTTCCTCGCTGCTCATATTCTCTTCGCTGGTGTCTTTTGGATAAATTTCACCTTCCACTTGATATGTTATATGAGCACTGGGAGTTTGTGCCCGACGCAGCACCTCATCAATTAAATCGCTTTGAAAACGGCGATTACGCCAATTTTTCGCATATTGACCAATTGTTACCGGTGACGTGGTATAGATGGCATAATCCTTATTTATAATCCAGACAATGGCCATAATCAATGGCAAATTAAATGTTGGCTCAATGCTATCCAATGTCTCGTTGAGTAATACGCTCATGACATGTCATGTGTAAGACAAACAATAACAACGAAAATATTCGACGTTTTTTAGGCTTTCGATTTTTTTAATCGTTGTCAATTAAAACCGCCCGTCATGCATCCGTTCGATGCAATTTCTATTTGACGACTAACCACATTTAAATTTACATTGTTTATGTTACATCTCTGTTTAGATTTGTTGCATTATCCATGGATATAAAAAATTATTATTTAATTGCAATAATAACACAGCAATGTGCAAAATACCATAGGACACGAAAGTGTCAGCCTCTGTGACGTCAATAATATCTAGTTAGTATTTAAATATAACTAAATTAGCAGTTTATAAAACTTTCACCAAAATAATGTCGTGTTACATTATGTTGATTAAAAATGAAATGAAATTTAGGGAATACCCAATGTTAGAATCAGCCTAAATTTCGAACAAGGCCTCAGCCAAGTTTCTTCAACTAGAGTTCTATATATTAATTGTTTAAGGGATGAATCCTGGAATGAAGTTCTATATACGATCAACTCAAATCCCTATGGGTATTTATTAATATTCTTGGAATATATTCTTACAATAATTTAATATCCCATACACTCCCATGTTTTGCTTTAAACTGTAGCTGGTATTTATTTGCCTAGACCACTGGACGTATAATCGTTGTCATTACATATACGCTTTATCATTACAAATACTTGCGTAAACTAATTATTATTATCATTAGTTTTATTACACACAATGTGTGCACTTTTTTATAGTAAACTGAAGAGGTTTTTAATTATAGAACCCGACAAAAATATCATGGCAAATAGAAAATAATTATCAACAACAAACAGGGTTTAAATATCTTGGCAACATTACAAGTTTCCAATTTTATACTCAGCATTTCATATTTTTCTAAAGATATTTTTTCTAAAGAATTTTCTCATTTTTTTTCAATATAATTTTTTCAAAAACCCATTTCAGGTATAAATGAAAAATCTTTATATATTTTAAATCTGCGAACATTGTTCCGTTTTATAAGATTTACAAAGCAGTGGACCGATAAGTCCCATTTCCCAAGAATATACATTTGGTGTGGTACCAGAAGAAGTGGGCCGGTTGGTCCTATCTTCGAATAACTAAAAAGGAGTAGACAGCAAATTTATCTGGACACAAAATCTAATACACATTATTCCAGGTTCGATTTGGTACTTAGTGCACTAATTCGTCCTAAGCGGACAAACTTTAGTCATTTTGTACATCATTTTGATAAAATCAGATGAAAATATATATGGATGCTACATCTAAACTTGAAAGGTCTTCAATCCAATGTGCTATGCAATATTTTATGTAAAGCGAACAGATATATAGGGTTGCCGATATTCGACGGACCCATGTTTTTTTAACAAAAATCAAAGAAAACCAGTAAGGAAAGTAGTAAAGTCGGACGGGCCGACTATATGATACCCTTCACCACTATGGGTACATTAAACAGGACTATTATCATGAAATTGTATGAAATAAAATATGTGATATTTATCTAAATGTGAAACGACCTAGATCTATCCATAAACATGTCATCCGTTTGTTACAATGGAACAAAAGTATGTAAATCGACTTCAAACAAATATCAATAGGTCATCCGTTGGGCTAGGCCTGTACTTCTAGAAAATCCAACTACGTTATTCTATGCTCAATTTTGAACGTTGTGCAAAATTTGATGTCAATCTAACAAATATGAGGAGTTTGATGCATAATTTACTTATATATGGATGATATATCCAAATATGATCCGATTTCAACGAAACTTGTCACAGGTTAGGTTATACTAATTTCAGTACGTTTTGTTCCTATCAGCCATATATTTGTTCATTGGTGCGTCAATTACTTAAAATCAATCTATAATATAAGGGAGCTATATCAAAATATCGAAACTTGGCAGACATCATTATAGGCTCAATTCAGTACGTTATGTCAAATTTCGTGCAAATCGAAAGATATATAGGGACTTTGGTGCACCATTTACATGAAATCGGACGAAACTATTTATGGGAGCCATATCTTAATCTGGGCCGATTTTCACGAAACATACCAGACATTATTTTAGGCTCAATTCAGTACGTTATTCCAAATTTCGTGCAAATCGAAAGATATATAGGGACTTTGGTGCACCATTTCATGAAATCGGACGAAACTATATATGGGAGCTATATCTAAATCTATACCGATTTGCACGAAACTAAGCAGACATCATTCTAGGCTCACTTCAGTACGTTATGTCAAATGTCGTGCAAATCGAAAGATATATAGGGACTTTGGTGCACCATTTACATGAAATCTGGCGAAACTATATATGGGAGCTATATTTTAATCTGCACCGATTTCCACGAAACTTGGCAGACATCACTCTAGGCTCAATTCAGTACGTTATGCCAAATTTCGTGCAAATCGAGAGGTATATAGGGACTTTGGTGCACAATTTACCTGAAATCGGGCGAAACTATATATGGGAGCTATATCTAAATCTGGACCGATTTTCTCAAAACTGGGCACACATCATTATAGGCTCAATTCAGTACGGGATGCCAAATTTCGTGCAAATCGAAAGATATATAGGGATTTTGGTGCACCATTTACATGAAATCGGACGAATCTATATATGGGAGCTATATCTAAATCTGGACCGATTTTCACGAAATTTGGCAGACATCACTCTAGGCCCAATTCAGTACGGGATGCCAAATTTCGTGCAAATCGAAAGATATATAGGGACTTTGGTACACCATTTATATTAAATCGGACGAAAATATCTATGGGAGCTATATCTAAATCTGTACCGATTTTTCCCAATTTCAATAGGGTTCGTCCTTGGGCCAAACAAATGAGCTGTGCCAAAATTCATCCAATTCGGATCATAAATTCGACCTGTACTTTGCTCACAAAAATACATGGACAGACAGACGGACGAACATGCATAAATCGACTTAAAAAGTGATTCTATGCATATTCTCAAAAGGAACCATGGGTCTATCTCGTTTCCTTTTGCCTGTTACAAACATATGCACAGAGACATAAACCCTGTGCCACAGTGTGGTGAAGGGTATAAAAAAAATTGGCGGTTGGCAATGTTAATCATTTAATTTGTTCCAAGTAGAATTGTTTACATCAATTTTTGAATATGATATCTCTCAAATGGCCGCCTCTGGCGTTGATGACGTATTGTGCCCTTTTTGCTGCATTTTCCATCGTTTTTGCCAATATTTCGGCCGGAATAGCGGCTATTTCTTCACGAATGTTGTCCTTGAGCTCTTCTACGGTCCTTGGCTTGTTAACGTAAACCTCGTCAAATCGGGCGAACGCGGTGGCCAGTCCAAATCACCACTTTTCGACATCAAACGGTCCAGAAACAAATTCTTCAGAAAATCCTTTGTTATGCGACTTGTGTGCGGTGGAGCGCCGTCTTGTTGAAACCAAAACTGCCTCATACGCTTTCGACGAATAATTGGCATCACAAATTGGTCATCATGTCGCGATAACGCTCCTGATTGATGGTAACAGTATGGCCATTTTCATTTTGGAAGAAAAACGGCCCAATGACCCTTTTCGCACTAACGCCGCACCAAAATGTGACTTTTTCGTCATGAAGAGGCAATTCTTGAATCTCCTGAGGATTTTCAGTGGCGTAAAAACGGCAATTTTGCTTATTTAGGGTCCCATTCAATGTGAAATGGGCTTCATCGGACATGATAATTTTGTTCCAAAATTGCTCGTCATCTTCGGCCATTTCGATGACTCTTTGGGCCCATTCCAATCGACGAGGCTTGTCCGCAGGCAACATTCTTTGCGTCAATTGAATTTTGTACGGGAACAAATGCAAATCAATGCAAATAATCCGTTGTAAAGTGGACCGAGCCATGCCCAACTGCTGAGAACGGCGTTTTTGGGATGTTCTTGGGGAACTCTCAACATTGGCTCGTACGGCAGCGATATTCTGGGCCGATCGCCTTGGTCGACTTTTATATGGCCTCTTCGGCTTAGAAAGAGCCTTACCAATCGAAAATTTTTCGTATAAACGCTTAATGGTGTTCTTAGAAGGCGCACTTCTCACATTTGTTAATGTTTTAAAGCACCTTGAGTTTTCACAATTGACTTCTTCTGTTGAATGTAAATTTCAACTATTTCAGAGCGCTCGCGTGGCGTGTATTGATGTGACATCTCTGTCAAAAGTTATGGCGTTGCCAGATGGGTCCGTCGAATATGGGTAACCCTGTAGGCTCCTCCGTTTGCACTATGTGCATAAAATCGGTATAAATTATATATTTGAGCTACATTTAAATCTGAACCGATTTCAAACTTAACCAAATCATTCGAAACTAAATTCAATACACGACGAAATATATATGGGAGCTATATCTATATCTAAATTTGAACCGATTTCAATCTAACTTGGCATACATCAATCTAAACCTAATTCAATACTCCGTGCAAAATTTTGTATCAATCGGAACAATATTGGGAGTTTGGTGCACCATTTACCTAAAATCGGACGAAATTATATATGGGAGCTATATCCAAATCTGAACCGATTCCAAAAAAACTTGACATACATCAATCTAGACCTAATTGAATACTCTGAGCAAAATTTTGTCTCAATCGGACCAATATTGGCAGTTTGGTGCACAATTTACCTAAAATCGGACGAATATGGGAGCTATATCTAAATCTGAACCGATTTTCTCCAATTTCAATAGGGTTCGTCTTTGGGCCAAATAAGTGACATGTACCAAATTTCATCCAAATCGGATCATAAATGCAACCTATACTTTGTTCACAAAAATACATGGACGGACAGACAGACGGACATGCATAAATCGACTCAGAAAGTGATTATATACATATTCCCAGAAGGAACAAAGGGTCTATCTTGATTCCTTTTGCCTGTTACAAACATATACATAATACTCTGTACCAAAGTGTGGTGAAGGGTATAAAAATCGGATGGGAAAATATTTTTGGTCACACCATCGGAAATTTCAGCCTCCATGAAGAAACTTCAAAAATGGTAGTTAGCAGCACCATCGCGATATACACAAGGCCACATGGATTTCTTCTTTTTGATTGATCCGAGGAGTGAATATCGATTCTGACCATTACCTTGTAGCAGCCAAGGTTCGCATTCGTCTTAATGTAACAGCAAAGGTGCGATCTAGCACAACACGGAAACTCGATGCCGAAATGCTATAAACACAATTGGTAGCAGAAGCCTACTCCGCTCAACTTAATCACCTGCTTGACTAAAGCAATCCTTGTCCCGGTAAATATATGGAAGCACAATGGCAAAGAATTGCCCAATCCCTACAAATTGCACCAAAATCAACACTTGGGTACCAAAGACCACCAACAAAAACGCAGCGTATAGAACAACCCTGCAGACAGCAAAAGGAGAGAGGATAAACGTATTTTCCGAAAAAAAGAAGAAAGAACAACAAAAACGTGAGAGGGAGCAAATCGAGATGTACAGGAGTCAGAACGAAATTTTACCAACGAGTAAAACACCAAAACGAAGGCTTTGTAGCAGGCACATCCTTCTGTAGAGATAACGATAAAAAACTGGCGACAGATAAAGACAGCGTTCTGAGGATCTGGAAGGAACATTTTGAACAGCTTCTTGTATCAAATAGTACCGGCGAAGAAGATACCTCAGAATCAATAAGAGATGACGGTATATTGTGTATACCACCTAGCCAAGATGAGGTCTGAATAGCAATCAATAGGCTGAAGAATAATGAAGCAGCAGGTGCCGATGGGATAGCAGCCGAACTCTTCAAAACCGGTGGTCAGATGCTGGTCAGAAGCATGCAGAAGCTGATTAATACAATTAGGTTAGAGGAATGCATTTCCAATGATTGGAACCTCAGCATCCTGTGACACGTGCACAAAAAGGAGATAGATGATATGTGCCAACTGTAGAGGATTAATATTTCTTCCAATAGCGTTTTATGAACGACCGAATCTAATGGCCAATAACATTACCAATGAGGCTTCTGACCTGGCGAATCTACCATACACCAGATTTTCACTCTGCACCAGGTCCTGGAAAAGACCCACGAAACACACGTCAACACATTCCAACTATTCGTACAGCCGTATTCGTTCGTGCTTAAAGACTTGTTCTGCATACCTGTAAAATTAATACATCTATGCAGGATAACTTTAACTTGCACAAAGTCAGCAGTAAAAGTCGGAAAGTACCTCTCGGAGCCTCTCAATGCCAAACGAGGTTTCTGTACACAAAACAGCATATGTTACTCAACATCGACTTGGACAAACAGCTTTAAGGTAGTCAAAGATTTTATAAACCTCGGTACCGCCATAAACAAAACGAATGACATAAGTTTTGAATGACGAGAATAGTGTTGGCCTACTATTGTCTATGTAAGAAATTTAAAAACAAGGCCACCTCCCGCCAGACCAAACTCACACTCTACAAGACGCTGATACTACCCTTGCTGTTGTGCGGATCTGAAGCATGGGTACTTGCGCAAGCAGATGAGGCAGCTCTTGGAGTGTTTGAGAGAAAAATTCTCCGGAAGATCTATGGGCCCATCTGCATTGACGGTGAATATCGCCGCCCAATAAACCATAACATGTACCATATTTGCAGACATCGACATAGACGTATCAAGTTGCAGCGACTACGTTGACTAGGTCATGTAGTGAAAATGGATGAGGATGCCCCAGCACAAAGGCATATAAACGCGAGCCAACTGATGGTTCGCGCAGAAGGGAAAGGCCATGAATTCGATGGATAGAACAAGTGGAAGACAACATTTCGGAACATGGTCTTTCAAATTGGAAGAGCTGCGCACAAGACCGACGCGCCTGGAAATCTTTGATTAAGCTCTGCTTGTGGAACAATTATTCTGTCACATGCCAGCTATGTAAGTAAATATTGAATTGTCGTTTGACCCTTTGTTTAGGTGGTACAAAAAGGTAATGTGCAGAAGGAGTGAACCAATGGGTCCCATCTTCGAACTTGGTATAGGCTTGGTAAAGATAATAGGATTTGCGGACCGACCGCCATATCTTCAAACATTGACATATGGCGAATTTTTCCTTCTGGAGGTTTCATATACTCGTCATATATATCCCCTTTTCAATACAATATATTTATTTGATAGTCCACAAGAATTCAAAACTAAAGTTAAAAATTATTGTTCAAAGGGATCGCAAATAAACTTAAAATATGTTTTTCAAATTTTTAAGATTTACAATAAATATGCTGAGCATGAACAATACTTAAACTTTATTATATACAAGTTTTGCTTATATTTATGAAACATTTTTAAATTATGACTATCGTTAAATATAATTATAATACTTTTCACCTGCACTTTAATTTATCCACTTATTTCGTCTTCCTGGTCTTCTCCGCCACAACCTTTTACGTCTCTTTCGAGCCCAAACACTCAACCGGTGGACAACAATTTCTCCCACTAAAACACAAATACAACCCAGCAAACAAATACCCAACAAATCCAATGCACCATATAGCTGATGTAAATCCATAGCTTCAGGTTGATCATCGGCCTGCAGTTTGCGAAAAGTATTTTCAAATATTAAACTTTTCTCCCAACGATGCATGAGACCTTCATTCGTATAACTCGTAATGTAATTATTGAAGCGATTAAGAAACATTGAATTTTTCTTCATATAAATACTTAGCTGTTGGGTAAATAGAATCTCCGGAACCAAATAAAAATGGTTGTTACTTTGATTGAGAAATCTCAAATAGCCATAATATTCATAGGCGGTCAAAATGGCAGTCTTCTGGCTGAACCCGTATTTTTCCGGATCATTGAGTATGCTAAAACTTTCAACTTCGGTATCATTTAGAATAACTGCAACATCGTAGAGTGCCTTGAGATGCTGAATGCTATTATATACCACTTCTGACATGAGAACTGTATAATTTTGGACCCTAAGTTCTTCTATGGTCTTTGGTGGGGATTTGTGGACATCGTGGCGCAAAAAATGATACATCAACCCCTGATAAATGGAACGCAAAACAAACGAAGCCAATAGCCATACCATCAGCAGGAATCGTGAAAATGGTACCTTCGGATCGCGGGCAATTGGACCACCCAAGCTGATTATAACCATATTATAGAGAGGTTGTTGTTGTCTCCTACCCAATACTAGATATTTAATTTGACGATCCACTTGAGTTATGGCATATAGTATTGCATTGCCCAGCACCAACATTCCGATGAGTATAAACCAAATTTCTGTTTTAAATGGTAGCAATAACTTTACGAATGGGTCATAGTGTTCGGTGCGGGCAGATACAACAAAATAGAAGGAGCTCAGGAAATAATTTGTTGATGGAGTAAATGAGTCATGGAACGATGATGGCTTATCGTGAAAGGCGCCAATCACAAAATCCGTACCGTTGGAGAAGAGCTGTAAAAGAGTAAATAAATAAATGAAATGTAATATACATATTTAAATGAAATCTATATAAAATCCTGAGAAAAGACCTTCGAAAACTACATCGACACATTCCGCGCCATTCGTCGACTAAAATCCGCATTCAACAGCCCAATCCGCTCAGAGGTTTTTAAAGCCATGATTTTCAGGAAGCTTAACACACATTATTCTAGACTTAATTCATTACGCTGTGCCGAATTTCGTGCAAATCGAAGGATATATAGGGACTTTGATGGACCATTTACATTAAATCGGACGAAAATATATATGGGAGCTATATCTAAATCTGAACATATTTTCAGGAAACTTAACACACATTATTCTAGACCTAATTCATTACACTATGCCAAATTTCGTGCAAATCGAAAGATATATAGGGACTTTGTAAATGGTCCACTTACATTAAATCGGACGAAAATATATATGGGAGCTATATCTAAATCTGAACTGATTTTTCCCAATTTCAATAGGGTTCGTCCTTGGGCCAAATAAGTGACCTATGCCAAATTTCATCCAAATCGGATGATGTGACCTGTTCACAAAAATACATGGACGGACGGACAGACGGACATGCGTAAATCGACTCAGAAAGTGATTCTATGCATATTCTCAAAAGTCTACCTCGTTTCCTTTTGCCTGTACCACAGTGTGGTGAATCATATAACCATAAATCATATAACCATAACGATCCTAGCAATCACAAAAGTGACTGAAATAGTCAACAACAACATGATCGGCGCCCTGATTTCTCACGTCGTGGAACTACTTCGCTGCTGTCTCATAGTAAGATAGTATCTTGAAGAGTTTTTTGTGAGTACCTGCCTATTGGCCTACCTCACAGTGGCTGATCCACAGGCGGAAAAGCGCCCACCAGCGCCCCAGCACCGAAGTACCAATCGGAGAGCATGCAGAAGGCACACTCTCCTCCTTGGTGTGGGGCGAAACCACAACCCCCGCGAAGCTCCCCAGTGGGCCACACCAACTGTCAGGCTGGATCGACAGATCTAGGGGCACCTGACACCCGCGGTACGGAAAACCTCCGATCAGGGTCGAGACCGGAGCCTCTCCCAGTTCGACACACATCCGGGCTGGTATCCCAATGCAAAATAGAACACCATTCAAAAACCACAGGCGGCAAGGAAAATCCTTGCCTCAAGCAGTGGCGACGTCGAACAAACACACATAACACAAACAATTAACATGCTGTCCTCACGGACTGCACAAAGGACCCAAAGGACCACGGCATCGGACATCACAAGACAAACAATCAACGAAACTGCCCTCACGGGCAGCCTACACGACGTCCACAACCGCAGAAGTGACTTCCGTGAAGTAGAGAGACCGCGAACCTCCCACGATGCGGAACGACAGCAGAGCACAGCAACCACAACAACTGCAGCTCTCCACCAACGAGGACCACCTCCGCTAAGTACTGTCCTTCTCTAAAATGCTTTACGAACAAAACTACTTAAACAACTAAAGGTTCGATCGTCTTCAAGACCCCTACTGAAAGCGGCCGGCGCACAGTGTGACTTTTCCCAATTTTAGGTGGCCAAAATTAATTACTGTGGTATTACAATAGATATCGAAGTGAAACCTGGTACATATAGTCCCAATACGTAAGAGATGTTGTATACAAAAAATAGGAGTGGTCCGCCCACTTCTGGGCGTATATGTAATAAGGTATATAATGTTAATGAAATGAAATTATAAAGCTCTCAAAGATTAATTAAAATATAGTTTATTGTTGTTTTTATACCCTACACAACTATGTTGTCAGGGTATTATAGCTTTGTGCAGCCCCAAAAGTTTGTAACGCCGCGAAATATTGGCAGACCCACCTTTAAGTATACCGATCGTCATATCTCGACTAGCTGAGTCGATCTAGACATGTGTGTCCGTCCGTCCGTCCGTCTGTCCATTATAATTTGTAAACACGATACAGGCCACAGTTATGGACCAATCTTCACGAAATTTTGCATGTAGGATGGGTTCTGGCCAATGAAGACCCCTATTGTTTTTGGGAAAGATCGGTTAATATTTAGGGGATGAAAGGGACCAAATACTAATTTTTTTCGGTTTTTCTGGCCGCTCCAGAGGCCGCAATAATGGCCCGAACATCGTGAAATTTTGCATGGAGAAGCGGATCGGGCCGAAGAATAAGCATGCCTGTTTGGAGAAAGATCGGTCAATATTTAACGGGTCAAATGGACCCTGACTTTGGTGTGCAAAATTACAAAATTTGTATTCTATGGCGTATATGTTTACCCCTGAAGGACATATACCCGAGAAGTTTATATTATATCCAAGAGGAGTGGTTGACCTTTAAATTAAGACTAATTATATTGTTGTATGTGCTCGGATGTGGGAGTTACACCTAAATATTTACAGGTACCTCCGTATTCGTATATTATTTAGTAACCCATTATCACTCTGGAGAGCAGAACTATAGCGCTGATCGCTTTGAAATGTTCCATGAGGCTCCAGTTATGGTCAAGGACAACGCATATAATTTTCGGTGATGATCAGATAAATATTTTGGAATGAAGTGGACCGAAAACTTAATTTTTTGTGTTATTTTCGAGTCGATCTATAGACCTCAAATGAAAGCCGAACATCGCAACACAACCCACGGTGAAGGGAACCTGGACAATAGGACCGTACAGAATAATAGAAATATTCGGAAAATATGTTAGTGAGAGGAAGAGCTTGTTTACCTCTAATCGGCAAGAGGGTGCAAATATCACGACTTTTATTGCCCAGTCTCGGAATAAACATCCGCAGAAAATTTGAGTTCCGTGGTAGTTGTGTATATAATTCGGCCCCGTCCGACTATACTGCTCCGCTCACTGGTTATAACATTTATTTGTTAAAGCAATTAATAAAAAAAGATTCAATAAACAAAAAAATTAAAAAATAATCCAAACATTTAAAAACAGAAATAAAATATGTATTCATATTTTTAATTCAGATGAAATATAGATTACAGTACATAAAAAATATTGATATAAAATAAATTAGATTAATTCATTGTATCTATATCAAGGTCTTCTCCTTCTAGCGGTTTCAATAGTAATGATTGCATCTCTGGATTTAATATTTTTCTTCTTGTTGTCGTTGGAAGTTTCTATGTAAAAGATCCGTATTTGTATCATTCTAGACGTTTTTGTAAAACGATACACGGCAAGTTCTGGTATCCTTGTTCCTTGATTCTTGAGATTCCTCAGATCATTGACCAATTGGCAGAACACAGGACTCCATTATTTCTTTGCCATGAAATAGCATTTTGTGTACACTTACAGGCATACAATACCAATGATATTTAGACAAATAAAGTTCTCTTGTTTCTTTTGCGTAATTCTCAAAGGCGACGGGATTTATTGGGTTGCCGGATCCAAGACAAGCCAAAATTACATGGAATCTTTTTAGCAAGTTTATATCTATGCCAGTAATCTCTGATGTTTTTTCATAATTTTCAAAGAAGCGCCTTGCAGTATTCCCATCATTAGTGTTACCTACTTTTGTGGGCATATCAATTAACAGACCAAAATCTTTTCTAAACCTGGACTGAATATATTCTTTTCTTTTTTTGATTTTATTCTTATTTTCTTCGCCTTTAACTAACCACACTTGTATGTCCAACCGATAAGCTATGTGTAACATGCATTCCATACAACGAATCCATGAATGAAGTGGTGAAATTCCAAAATTAAGCATTGAACTGTCAACACTTTTTCCGGCAAGAACTTGGACATTGTTCATTTCACTTGGTTTAGAACCACATATATAGCAAACCTGACTTGAGCTGTAAGTCAATAATGCATTACATACTTTGCCATCGATCATACATAAAACAAGCGTACTGCTTATGTCAATATATATTTTTTCATTTCGAATTAGAGTTGGCTGTAATTTAGAAATTTGACTGTTATATTATGAACCTCCTTAGTAATAAGTTCACGTGTTTCCTTGGCAAATACGAGCTTAATAGAACGACAGTATCGGGTTGAATTCTGAGTTGGATTTTTCCATATTATTTTTTCATTTCTGCCAATTTTTGAACTTACTTGCAAAAGTACAATTGATATAGAAAACAAACTACTATCGGATTGGTTATCTGCTGAAAATTTTTGTTTATAATTGACTTGTTCAGAGCCATCGCAACCCCATTTAAAAACTGCATTTATGTCACTTAGTTTAGAAGATTCAAGTATATTTAAGTATATTTATTTTTGTCGGGTTTTCTGGTCGCTCCAGACACTGATTGAGTAGCGCAAAGTCGAGATAATGTGTTATCATTTAGTGACTGTAGTTCAATATCTGCTTGATTTTCCGATATTGTAATTTTCTCAGGATAACATGAAAGTTTGGAAGTTTTAATACAATTATATGACGGACATATTTTTGAATTAATATTTGCCAAATGTTGTCTAAGCAATTCGTATTCATTAGTTGATAAACCGGTATCTATTATAAGTGCAAGAGCTTGGTCTGAAGACAATGCTTTTGAAGTTTTTGTTGATGTTTGTGCTTTTTTGAGAGCTGTACCTTTCGAGGGGGATGCTGCTGATAATTGATGAACTATGTCACCTGAGTTTCTCTTTCCCGATTATCTCAAGTTCATTGCTGCTGCCATTAACAATTGTTCAGAATCAACAGAATGTGCTAGATTTTTAGCTATCCGCCTTTTTGTGCGGTGAGATAATTCACTGAACTCCTTTTCAGGTCTTCCTACAGCTCTGTTACTGCATTGGGAAGTACTCGGTCTAACATCAAGAAGGCAAAATGTGAAATCATGACTTTCAGCTAGCCAAGTAGCTTCCTTCGTGAAAAAAAAACGGGATTTAACTCGATGTGATGAGGCCCATTTTTTATTAAAACGATAACACAAAAGCTCCACACTTTTTTTTAATTTTGGATAGTCAACGTCCTTTCCAATTAGGTTTGTTATATAATTCAATAATGCACATTTTACGGCACTATTTTTGTTTTCGAGCCAAACCACAAAAAGTTCACTTCTCGGAATCGCCATTATAATCTTTCTGTAAAACTGAAAGGGGCAAGTAGTTGCAGCTAATTTTTTGTATTTAGATACTAGGTTCCTCGGGTATTGTTTTTAGCAAAATATCTCAGCTGTACCTTGGTGTACTTTTTTTATGCATTCCATTTAATATTTTGTTTATAGATTTTGTCCCTTGTTTTTAGAAACTTTTTTCACCAACACAATTCTTTATCAAATATATATTATAATGCAACAAAACTTATTAATTACATTAAAAACCGATCAATAATCAAGAATTAATAATAATAATATAATAAGTAGTCTCGGTAAGAAATTTTTTACAGCAGCGACAATTTAACAGAATTTTCTACTCTAAAAAACATGTTATTTTACAATCACTCATATCAGACTTTTGATAGCCGTTTTTTTTATTCTTATTGTTCTTGTTATTTTTTTTTTTTTTTTTTTGCAACATTTTTATATTACATATACTCCTATGTATCACATTACAAAAAATCGTGCAGATCGTCGAATATAAATTTTTCCAATTTTGGCCTCCTAAATGTTACAAATGACACAGTGTGCGGCGCCTGCAACGCCTCTGTTGAAACAGTGCGAGACACTGGCAAGCACGCTAATATGGCGACCCGCTGACACGAAAGGAGCTTCCTCTGCCCGAAGACAGAAGAGGCAGTTCTGTACCATAAGTTGCGCAGACAACAAAAAGCCCACCATATATGATACGCACAGAACGCCTACTCAAGCCCCAATCAGTCCGCAAAACACGCCTGATGGTCCCAACGACCGTTGTCAGCTTCTCCTTCAACCGATCGAAGTGTGGAAGAAAATTCAAACGCTCTGACACCGTTATTCCGAGATATTTAACAGTACACGAATACCTTATGCCGCGTTCACCAGCTCGAATGCAGGGAGGACGACTGCGTGCCAATCTGCCTTTCAGCAGCATCAGCACCGTCTTCGAGCATAGCTTGCTCACCACGATTTTCCAGTTCAAGGCGACTATCCCCTTCAATCATGATGAGCAAGTCAGCCGCATACGCACAGACCTTGAAGAAGGCAGCTAGCTCCCGCAACAGGGGATCCATCATAAGATTCCATATACATGGACCACAAATGGAACCCTGTGGGCAACCCCGCTGCACATCGCTCCAGACCGAAACACTGGCTCCCACGACACAAGCCTTCCTATCCCGGAAATAACTTGCCCAAAGAGCGATCTCCCTACACCTGACCTCTGACAACCTTGTGAGCACGCTATCCCATAAAAGGAAATCAAATGCCAAGGACATATTTGGAATTTGACCCGCTCAGGCTATCTTACACATCGTAGCAATCCTTAAGCCGTGCCACCATAATCATCTCCAGCACCTTTCCAAGCACTGGAAGAAGACTTATGCCCCGATACGAGTGAGGATCACTCCTAACCCGATCAGGCGACTTAAACAAGACTACAACTACATGACGAATGCAGCTGGAGAAAACGGACTCGATAAGATAGATAAGAATCACTGCAAGGATCATAACAAATCACTCCAGGATTATATCACACACTTCCAAATAAGACATTAGTGAAGTGGAGTGTAGCCGTTTATGTTAGGAAGAAAAAGAGCTTGTCCAAGTTCCATAAAAAGTTCAGCCCGGTCCAATGTGACGATATTTTGCTGGATTATCATCTGTCAAGCCGGGTGGAGGGTGGAGTTATTTTAATGGGACTACGTACAAACAAGGCCTAAGATAAAGACATTTTTTATTTTCTTAGAAAATCCAACCGTTTAAATACGTAGGAAAAGGGCGGGTCTATAGAGAGGATAGCTTATTGTTAACTGAAGCCACGATGATTTATACAAGTCTATACTAGAACATGGAAATATGTATATATATATACATGGACGTAGTATAATTTCCTTACCTCATCCAACATACCCCTCTCATCATACAATGTACGATTAATCTCCTCATCATTCATCCAACGAATTGCCACGGTGAAATTCATACGTTCCGCCAAATAATTCAACATACGTCCCTCCAGACCTTTAAAACGTGTTTTCGATGCCATCGTTGTATTCGGTAGAACCTCAAAATATGGCATATCTTCCCAGGTGGCACATACCAATGGACAACCGTGTAAATTACTCGCCTTGGAAATATAAAATTTTGTATGATTCCATCTGCCGCTAACAAATGTATTATTCACAACCGGAACATTTGCCATGCAATGAAATTCCGAAAATGGTTCATCATGAAATAGTAGAATATTATTTAGGCCAGCATAGACCAGGACATTCGCGTGAGATATGCCTGAATCTAAACTCAGTTGTAAGGAGCTATAGAGTTCATCGTAATAATGATTCGGTGAGGGTGATGTATACAGCACAATAAAATAGGTACCTTCAACATTAAGATGGTATTTGATGATGTTCGTATAGAGGTATCTACAAGGGGAGTGGGGAGAAAATGAAAATACAGGGTAAAATCAAAAGCACCTTAAAAAAAAAACATAATTATCAAATAAATGAAATAAACTTTCGTAATATTTTTTATACTCACTCCAGTGATTCCGTTGAATCCACCAAAATAACACTATAATGTATTTCATCGGTCACTGGTATGGGTATGCCATTGCTGAGATAAATCGAAATCCGGCCATCCAACAACAGCCACATTATATTGATAATATCGTAAAAGAAATAAATACGTCGGGGATTTTCCACTTTAATGTGAAGATTAAAACTTATTAAACGATATTTTTCTATAAAAAATCGATCAATCATTTCGACTAAAGCTTCCGAAATATTATGGGCAATTTCTTGATGATTTAACTCCAATACTTGTGGGCAACTCGTTGCAGTTGTGTGTCGGATGACCAAGGACAATAGTAGGACATAATACAAATATTGCCGTGACATGATGACACGCAAACGTTTAGCCAGTTACTAAAATTGAAATGTCTATGAATTTGGCTACTGCCTAATAGTTAGGCCGCTGTCATCAGAGTTTTAATTTTTATATAATATGTATGTATTACATGAAATGTTTAATTGTATTTTTTACAATGGAAAATTATGGACTTTGAACTTACACTTAGAAAATTTTTTCAAATATTAACAAGTAAACAAGTGGCCGTGGTGAAGTTTTTATATCATCTACCATGAGGTGTAAATTAAAAATATATGTAATCGTTTGCGACCTTAGAGATATGGCGGGTTATGCCATAATATTTTTTGGTGGTAAGATTTAACACCCAATGACAAGTAAAATATGGAAAAATCGCGGTACCTTCATATAGGGACTATCGTAAAAATTTTGACCAATATTGACCATTTTTTGGTAGAGAGGATTGCTACACAATGGGCGGTCAAAGTACCAAATTACAGTCAATTCAGTTAAAAAACATGCCAAAAATTTTCAAAAAGCCGAGCATATTGGGGCTATTGAAAAATGTGGACCGATATAACCCAATTTTAATACCCAACATCCAAGGTGCAATAACAATGTATATGGACACATTTTAAGCTCTATCATGAATATTGTGAGCTATATAGCGATTTCAACCATTAGGCGGAATGAGAGAATTTTATTCTGATCATGAATATATATGTATTACGGTGACTCCGGTGAATATTTCGGAGTGTTGCAAAATGCGAATTTTGGTCGTAGTTTCACCCAAACTCAAATTAACTACCAATAAGGAAAGTATAAGATACCCTTCACCACTTTGGGGATCTTCTACATATGTATCCTTACAGATGTCGTCTTTTCGAAGGACCATATCAATCAAGCACCCATTGATTATTTGGTTTACAATCAACATGAATAGGTCGAAAATATATACGAACGCTATGCTATATCTAAATCTGAACCGATTTCAAGGAAACTTGGCCGAGATTTATTTATATTAATTTCAGTACGTATTGCCAATCACCCTAGCTATGGGTCTTTAGTACACCATTTACTTAAAATCGGACAAAAGTATATATAGGAGCTATATGTAAATCTGAACCAATTTCAAGAAAACTTGACACCCGAAAAGTTATAGTAACATCGGACGAAAATATATATTGGAGCTATATCTAAATCTAAACTGATTTTCACGAAACTTAGCACCATACTTCGTGCAAATCGAAAGATATATAAGGACTTTGGAGACCCATTTACCTTAAATCGGACGAAAATATATATGGGAGCTTTATATAAAGCTGGACCGATTTTCACGAAACGTAGCACACATCATTCCGGACCCAATTCAGTACCCTATGCCAAATTTCGTGCAAATCGAAAGATATATAGGGACTTTGCAGACCGATTTACCTTCAATCGGACGAAAATATATATGGGAGCCTTATATAAATCTGACCCAATTTTCTCGAAACTTGGCACACGTCATTCTTGACTTAATTCAGTACTTTATGCCAAATTTCGTGCAAATCGAAAGATATATAAGGACTTCGGTGCCCCATTTACCTTAAATCGGACGAAACTATATATGAGAGCTATATCTAAATCTGGATAGATTTTCACGAAACTTGGCAGACATCACTCTAAGCTCAATTCACTACGTTATGTCAAATTTCGAGCAAATCGAAAGAAATATAGGGACTTTGGTGCACTATATATATAAAATCTGACGAAAATATATATGGGAGCTATATCTAAATCTGGGCCGATTTTCACGAAATTTAGTAGACATCACTCTAGGCTCAATTCAGTACGTTATGCCAAATTTCGTGCAAATCGAAATATAAATAGGTACTTTGGTACACCATTTACCTTAAATCGGAGGAAAATATATATGGGAGCTATATCTAAATCTGAACCGATTTTCACGAAACTTGGCACACATCATTATAGACTTAATTCATTACGCTATGCCAAATTTTCATCAAATCGAAATATATACAGGGGCTTTAGTTCACCATTTACATAAAATCGGACGAAACTATATATTTGAGCTATATTTAAATCTGGATAGATTTTCACGAAACTTGGCAGACATCACTCTAAGTTCAATTCAGTACGTTATGCCAAATTTCGTGCAAATCGAAATATATATAGGGACTTTGGTGCACCATTTACATAAAATCGGACGAAACTATATGTTGGAGCTATATCTAAATCTGGACTGATTTTCCCCAAACTTTTCAGATATCGCTCTATGCTCAATTCACTACATTGTGCCAAATGTCGTGCAAATCGAAAGATATATAGGGACTTTGGGGCACCATTTACATTAAATCGGACGAAACTATATATGGGAGCTATATCTAAATCTGGACCGATTTTCATGAAACTTGGCAGACATCATTCTAGACCTAAATGATTAGGCTGTACCAAATTTCGTGCAAATCGAAATATATATAGGGACCGTTTACATTAAATCGGTTAAATATATATATGGGAGCTATATCTAAATCTGAACCGATTTTCCCAATTTCAATAGGGTTCGTCCTTGGGCCGAATAAGTGACCTGTGCCAAATTTCATCCATTCCGGATCATAAATGCGACCTGTACTATGCGACCTGTACTATGCGACCTGTCTGTCCATGACAGACAGACAGACGGGCGGACATGCATAAATCGACTTAGAAAGTGATTGCATATTCTCAAAAGGAACCATGTGTCTATCTCGTTTCCTTATGCCTGTTGCAAACATATGCACAAATACATAATACCCTGTACCACAGTGTGGTGAAGTGTATAAAAATTAAAGATCGAATTATAAATACCATAAATGTAATTTATTGTGTACATCTCTTTTTTATTTTTTTTTTAAATAAATATTACTTCATGGCAGGATGAATTTGTGATCCAAAATACTAAAATTAATTAATATTTATTTTATGAACATTTTACTTATATTAATGCAGAATTGATCAATTAACAATTTTCTGCCATTTAATTTCTTCTTCCTCTCCTCCGAGCCCACACGCTCATCCGATGGACAATAATTTCTCCCACTAAAACACAAATACAACCCAGCAAACATATGCCCAACAAATTCAATGCACCATATAGCTGATATAAATCCATTGCTTGAGGTTGATCATCGGCCTGCATTTTGTGAAAGGTATTTTCAAATATTAATTGTTGCTCCCAACGTTGCATTAGACCAATGTTCGTGTAACTCGTAATAAAAATATTGAAACGATTGAGAAATATTGAATTTTTCTTCATCTAAATAGATAGCTGTTGGGTAAATAGGATCTCCGGAACCAAATACAGATCATTATTAGTTTGATCGAGATATCTCAAATAGCCATAATATTCATAGGCGGTCAAAATGGCAGTCTTCTGACTGAAACCGTATTTTTCGGGGTCATTGAGTATGGCAAAACTTTCAAGTTCAGTGTCGTTAAGAATAACTGCCACATCATAGATTCCCTTGAGATGTTGAATGCCGTGATAAACCACTTCCGACATGAGAACCGTGTAATTCTGTTCATTTAGTTCTTCTATGGTCTTTGGTGGGGATTTGTGGATATCGTGGCGCAGAAAATGATACATAAAACCCTGATAAATGGTACGCAAAACAAATGAAGCCAATAGCCATACCATCAGCAGGAATCGTGAAAATGGCACCTTTGGATCGCGGGCAATTGGACCACCCAAGCTAGTTATAACCATATTATAGATAGGACGTTGTTGTCTACCCAATACTAAATATTTTATTTCACCATCCACTTGGGCTATCGCGTAAAGTATTGCATTCCCAAGCACTAACATTCCGATGAGAATAAACCAAATTTCCCTTTTAAATGGCAGTAATAACTTTACGAATGGGTCATAGTGTTCGGTGCGCGAAGAGATGACAAAGTAGAAGGAGCTCAGGAAATAATTTGTTGTTGGTGTAAAGGAGTCATATAATGATGTTGGCTTATCATGAAAGGCACCAATCACAAAAGAGCTGTAAGAGGAGAAATATAGAATATTTAATATGTAAGAAGTAACAGGTTGTTAATTTTGGTTAATCCAATATTTTTATAGCTTCCACCATGAAGAACCAAAAACGAAATGAAAAGAAAGGTAAGGTAAGAGAACGACTATGGTTGGCCTGGGCAAAAATGTATAATATCCTACACCACTTTAGGCGTTTTGCGATAGAAGCTTTTAAGAATCGTAGAATATGTCGCTCATCATTGACATGGTGTATATTATATATGGGGAGTTATATTTACATCTGAACCAGTTCGCTTTAAAATTTGCACAGGCTGTAATAGACTCGAATTGGTATCCCCTTCTAGCTTTGGTATCAATATGGGACCCGTACCAAAATATAAACAGATGTAAATCAAGATTGGTGCATTGTATACTTCAGTCAATCCCTTAGCACAAAATTTCCTATTTCCGTAAAATTGGACGAAGTTATACATTGGAGATTTTTATAATTCTGAACCGATTTTCAGGAAACTAAACACATATCATTCTAGACCTAATTAATTTCGTGCAAATCGAAAGATATGTAAGGACTTCGGTACACCATTTACATTAAATCGGACGAAAATATATATGGAAAATATATATAAATCTAAACCGATTTTCACGAAATTTAACACACACCTTTCTAGACCTAATTCAGTACAATCTGCCAAATTCGAGCAAATCGAAAGATATATAGGGACTTTGATACACCATTTACATTAAATCGGACGAAAATATATATGGGTGCTATATCTAAATCTGGACCGATTTTGAAGAAACTTAGCACACATCATTCTAGACTTAATTCATTACGCTATGCCAAATTTCGTGCAAATCGAATGATATATAGGGACTTTGGTACACCATTAAAATTAAATCAGACGAAAATATATATGGGAGCTATATCTAAATCACACATCATTCTAGACATAATTCAGTACGGCGTGCCAAATTTCGTGCAAATCGAAAGATATATAGGGACTTTGGTTG